TCTTAATTAGAAGTCAGTGACTACAGTTTTCTCCAGTTTCTGCTGGTAGTAATCCCTTCTAAATTTCTCTGCAGGGGATAGTCTTCTTGATGATGGTCTTTATATCTCTTAGAGGTGCTGAAGGAATCACAGCGTATCTCATTTTCTATTCCCTTATCCACTTTTACTTTTATTTCCTACTGATTCAGTTTCTCTGATTGTTATAGGTCTCTAGTGGTTTTCTGTTTACTTTTCAATCGGTTTTGATTAAGTTATAGTTTTTTTTTTGCTAGGATACTGGCTATTTCACTTTTTCAAATTTGGGGGTATAAAATCTTACACTGTATTCCTTATTACTTTCTAAAGTTTTGCTGTGCTTTCAGTTTTGTTCCCCTTTCATTCCTACTACTGTTTATTTGTTCTTTAAAGAAAACCAATTTATTTATTTTAGAGAAAGAGTGTGCAGAGGGGAGTGAAGGGCCGGGCTGAGGGAGAGGGGAGAATCCTTTTTTTTTTTTTTTAAGATTTCATTTATTATTTGACAGATACACAGTGAGAGAGGGAACACAAGCAGGGGGAGTGGGAGAGGGAGAAGCAGGCTTCCTGCTGAGCAGGGAGCCCAATGTGGGGCTTGATCCCAGGACCCTGGGATCATGACCTGAGCCGAAGGCAGACGCTTAACGACTGAGCCACCCAGGTGCCCCGGGGAGAGAGGATCTTGTGCAGACTCCACACTGATTATGGAGCCTGAGGGGGGGCTCAATCTCAGGACCCTGAGATCATGACCTGAGCCGAAATGAAGAGTCTGATGCTTAACTGACAGTGCTACCTAGGTGCCCCTGTTTATTTTGCATTTATGCCTTTTTTGTTTATCCATAGTATAAGATCTCCTGTACATCTTTTACCCAAATACACCAAATTTTTCCCCCAAATATGTCAGTTTTTTAACATTTTGCCATGTTGGTTTTGTCATTCTCTCTCCCTCCCCCAGCACGCGCACACACACACACACACACACACACACGCACACACACACACACACACTTGTTTCTGAACTATTTGAAATAAGTTGCATATATTCTGCCTTTTACCTCTTAGTACCTCAGTGTATTTTTCCTAAGAACAAGGATATTTTCTTAGTCACAGTTAAAGTATCCTATTTAGGAAGTTTAACATAACTATGGTACTTTAATCTACAGTCCATGTTCCAGTTTTTTCAACTGACCTAATAGTGTTCTTACAACATTTTTGTACCTTCCATATAAGATCACATAGCACTTAGATGTCACATGTCTTTATTCTCCTTTAATCTGGAGCAGTTCCTCAGTCTTTCCTTTATGACATACATATATTTAAAGAGTGCTGGCTCCCTCTCTTCTGTTGTAGTTGAACTGCTGTTATGTGAGAAACACTGCCATTATTCCTTCTGTTCCTTTTTAAAAATGTCTAAAATCCAACTCAGCTCAGAACATAGCATTAAAGACAAATTTTTATTAATAGATAGTAAAATTATGTATTTGATAATAATACAGTTTGATATTTCTTGATGTCTTTATAAAGGATACTAGCTTTTTATATCATCCAGAAAACTAAATGTGAAGCAACTGTTTGAGATACCAATTATTGATTTTGGTTAGAAGTAATCTAATTTGAATTTGGCACTTTTAGTTCAAAAATGAAATGATTTTTCCTTGGAGTCAAAGATATTTCAGGAAGTTACTAGTGAAAACATTCAAGTCTAGTTACCAACTATACTACTTCTTAGATAATACAATTTGTAAACATGTAATTATCTATTTGTAAGGTAGCAACTATAATAAAGTACATAGTAGTTTGAAAGTACATATTTAATGTTACTCTGCTCTCCCAAATTGTTAGTTGTTATTAATGAAACAAAAATGCACTTGTACCCATTTTTGACTTGGTCTATTTTAAGTACTTTTGGCAAACAGTCCAGTAATTTTATGATGGGAGTTTTGCTCTATATTTCCCAAAATAGCTTGGAATATATCTTCAGAAGTTGCAGTTATTTAGTGACTGTGGCATTTTCCTTTTCCCCTCTCTATAAAATACCCTAGAATTTCTTTCAGAAGAAGGAAAAACACTGGAGGTTGAAATTTTTCACTGCCTTTAGAATCTGTTAACTTTAGCTTCTCAGAATCTCTCCATAAGCTCTTTGAGATCCTAATTTCTCCTCCTTCTTTATTAAAAAAGTCTCTTTATAAATAATGATCTAGTTTTCATAGCGATTATTGTATTGTGGATTAGTGGTGTATCTGATGATTGACATCACCATTACCACTACTATTTATTGAAGCTTTACTATGTGTCAGTTACAAACCAGTGTTAAAATTTTACTGCTTTTTAAAATACTCATGCACTTACCTTTATTGAAATCTTTATTTCTCCATACAGCTTCAAGTTACTGTCTCGTATTATTTTATTTCACAGCACAGATCTAGTGGTAACATTCTCTCAGCTTTTGTTTATCTGGGAATGTCTTAGTTTCTATCCTACTTTTGAAGGACAGTTTTGCCAGATAAAGGATTCTTGGTTGACTTTTTTTTTTCTTTTAGTAATTTGAATATATCTACCCACTGTCTTCTGGCCCCCAAAGTTTCTAAAGATAAATCTGCTAGTAATCTTTTTTAGGATCCCTTGAATGTGACGGTTCACGTTTGTCTTGTTACTTTCAAGATTCTCTCTGTATCTGAAGTGTGGCTCTCTTGAATTCATCTTGTTTGGAGTTTGTTGAGCTTCTTAGATGTTTATATTGATGTCTTTCATCAAATTTATGAAGTTTTAAACTATTATTTCTTCATGTATTTGCTTGGCCCCTTTTCCTTTTCTTTCTGCAGCTCCCACAATATGTGTGTTGATTCTTTTTTTTTTTTTTTTTTTTTTTAATTTTTTTTTTTGGGGGGGGGGGGGGGGTGCAGTGCAGAGGGGCAGAGGGAGAGGGAGAGAGAATCCCAGGCAGACTCCATGCTGAGAGCAGAACCTGACACAGGGCTCAGTCTCATGACCTTGAGATCATAGAGCCAAAATCAAGAGTCTGATGCTTTACCAACTAAAACACCCAGGCACCCCTATGTTGGTCCTCTTTATGGTGTTCCACGGTCCTTTAAGCTGTTTGCTTTTCTTTAACTTTTTCTTTTTGTTATTCAGACTCAGTAATGTCTATTGTCTATTTTCAAGTTCACATATCTTTTTCTGCCTGCTCAAATCTGCTTTTGAATCTCTGTAGTGAATTTTTTGTTTCATTTATTGTGCTTTTCAGCTCCAGAATTTGTTTCTTTTTAGATTTTTTTAAAATTTATTTATTTATTTAATTTTTTTGATTCAAGATTTTTTTATTATTGTTAATCACCATACATTACATCATTAGCTTTTGATGTAGTGTTCCATGATTCATTATTTGCATCTCTTTATTAATACTTCATTCTGTTTGTACATTGTTTTCTTAACTTTCTCCTTAAGACAGTTTTATGGGGTTTTTTTTTGGTTTTGTTTTGTTTTGTTTTTAAAGATTTTATTTATTTGACAGCAAGAGATACAGAGAGAGAGGGAACACAGGCAAGGGGAGTGGGAGAGGGAGAAGCAGGCTTCCTGCAGAGCAGGGAGCCCGATGTGGGGCTCCATCCCAGGACCCTGGGATCATGACCTGAGCCGAAGGCAGACGCCTAACGACTGAGCCACCCAGGTGCCCAATTTTATGGTTTTTTTAAGCCTTGGTCTAATAGATCTGCCATGCCTTTTTTAGGCACAGTTTCTCTTGATTTTCTTTTTTTCTTACAGTGGGAAAAGGAAAAAAAATGAATTTACTGTTTGTTTGTGTGCCTTGAGCTTTTTTGTTCAACATTGAACATGTGAATCTAATTATGTGGTAACTCTGGAAATCAGATTGTCCCCCTTCCGCAAGATTTGCTTTTTTGCCTTTTTTTTCCTTTAAATTGTTGTAAGTTGTCTCTGTGCTCAGGATCTGCCTGAAGTGTAAATTTAGGTCTTCTCATGTCTTTTTTGAGTATTTCCTTGGGTATGAATAGTCACTTTCTAATTTTCCCCATGAATGTGATTGTTTTTGACTGTCCTAGTCTTTAATGTCTGGCACCCCAAATGGGAAAAAGTAAAAAATGATAGATAAAAAAGGATGCTGATCCTTTAAATAACCTGGACATCTCTTCCTTCTGTTGAGGAGGGACTTGCAACAGTAAGGGAAGGTATAATAATTATGGTTGGCCTCCTCTTTGTCTGTGCCTCTCTGATCAAAGTCAGCCATCAGTAATCAGAGCATAGATCACCGATATTTGGAGGACAGGGTCCTTTTTACCAACCCTGGCTCCTGTGAGTTGTGCGCGACCTGCTCCAGGAACATGCTGTGCATAACTCCCTGCCATGGGGGATGGGTAGCTGCTACTGTACTAATGCTGAGATTGATCAAAATTAACCCCAGTTTACTGTGTGTGTGTGTCTTCCCTTGGGAGTTGCAAACCTTCTAACAGACTAAGGAGTTCCAACATAGTTCTTTTTTTTTTTTTTTAAGATTTTATTTATTTGACAAAGAGAGAGAGACAGTGAGAGAAGGAACACAAGTAGGGGGGAGTGGGAGAGGGAGAAGCAGGCTTCCTGCTGAGCAGGGAGCCCGATGTGGGGCTTGATCCCAGGACCCTGGGATCATGACCTGAGCTGAAGGCAGACCCTTAACGACTGAGCCACCCAGGCGCCCCCCCAACATAGTTCTATAAGACAGATTCTGCCACTGTAATTGTTGTCTAGGTGGGGAGAAAGTTTCCTTCTTACTTTGTCATCTTCCCAGAATCCTCTTTTTAATCCCATTTTAAAATTTCTGTATTGAGTGACTTTATGAAGTAGATTAAGTAGCAAGACCTCTATATTAATGGTGGGGGAGAATGCATTTACTGAAATATAATAGCTCTTATTCTCACTTCAGTTTGTATTTAAGAGCTACATTAGATTATTTGATACATGTATAGTAATCTTTGGCATTTAACTTTTGGCAGGTGGTTTTGGAATGTATGCTTAAAAAAGACCTCATTTACAATAAGGTCACTCCAACATTTCACCACTGGAAGATTGATGACAAGAAATTTGGCCTTACTTTTCAAAGTCCTGCTGATGCTAGGGCTTTTGATAGAGGCATTCGAAGAGCTATAGAAGATATTTCTCAAGGTAGGTTTTCTTGACTATTTTCTTAATTTGTTTATCATATATAGTAGAGTAGAGTGATTTTAAACAAGTCAGCTATTGTGATGTATGTGATTAGCTTTGATAGCTCCCTGTAGGCAAAGGTAAAATAATGGGTTTTTTAATGTTTTATATTTGTCACATCATAATATATACCACTTATGTGTATTTTCTTGAACCCATCAATAGCAGCCTTCAGATAATGCAAATAAGTAGGAGCGTGAAGAGGGAAGGGTCAGAACTTTCAAAATCCTTGTGTGTTGTTATATCAGTCATATCCTTGTGTTTTGGTCATAAAAAAAAAAGAAAATTTCTAATCAAATATAGTTGACCCTTGAACAACATGGGTTTGAACTATGCCAGCCCACTATATGTGGATTCTTTTACAGTACAGTACCATAAATATATTTTCTCTTCCTTATGATTTGCTTGGTATAATGTTTTCTTTTCTCTATTTTATTCTAAGAATATAGTATATAATACATATAACAAACAGGGTATGTGTTAACTGTTTATATTATTGGTAATGCTTCAGTCAACAGTGGACTATTGTTAGTAGTTAAATGTTTGGGGAATCAAAAGTTGTATGTGGATTTTCAACTTCACTGGGGCGGGGCAGGGGTTGGGGCCCCTAACCCCCCTGTATTGTTCAAGGTTCAACTGTATTTGGTTATTAGAAGTTTTCTCTTTTTCATATGTAGACTCCATTTTTCCTATGGCAAACCTTTTCTTGAAATTCTTAACTCTTTACCTGATTTTATTATTGAGGATTGGTAGAGACCACAGCCCCATTTATCTCTTTGTATATTTTGCCGATCTGCTAAGATTATTAACTCTAAAGCTTGCAGGAAAAAAGAATATTTACATGTAAGACTGGCCTCTGCTTAATTAAGCAAAAAGAAATCACTTTAAAGCCCATTTCTTCCCCACACTGAGGTTATAATTAAAACTTGATTTGTTTTTCTAATTAAGAGGAAAATGTCTCTATAAATAGAAATCACCTTCTATATAAAGTAACTGAATCAAAATATATTAGGCAGAATTGTGATTTGTATATTTTGAAGATAACATTTTAATAGGAAAATTAGAAGAAATGAATGAGCTGACCATAGGCAAGAACATGGAAATGCTTAGTACAAATATGTACTGATAGTGCATGAAACTGTGCTTAAATAATTTATTTAGCTATTTTAAAAGATTAGAGATTGGTAAACAATCAATGATTTCCAGTTCAGAAAAATTTCCGTGGAATAGTAGCATTCATTTTATCTTTATTATAAGAACCTGTAAGTTCTTTCTAGATCATTGTTCTCAATGTTGGCTACACATTTCAGTCACCTGGGATACTTTGAAAAACAGTAACTCGTCCATACTCCGCAGACTATTTGAATCTGTCTGCCTAGGGAGGGGAGCTGAGGCATCCATTTTTTTTTTAAGTTCCTCCTATTTCAAACGTGATGAAGAATTGTGAAATGATTATGAATTTAGAGGGGAAAAAGGTTCCTGAGATTCTCTAGTAGTGGTTGTGGTTCTCAAACCAGTGCAAGAAATAAAAAATACATGAAGCCCTATGCCTCATCCCATAGATTCTGACAATATTGGTTTGAGAATATACTGTGGTACCAGTATATTTTCTAAAAGTTCCCCAGTTGATTCTGATATTTAGCTAGTGTTCAAGAACCAGTACTTTAAAAAGACATTCATTATCCATGCCTGCTGGAATTTTAAATTTATTTTTACTTTTTTTATTAAGTTTTTATCTTCATTCCAGTATAGTTAACATACAGTGTTATATTAAATATGTTTCAGGTGTACGGTATAGTGATTCAACAATACTGTACATTACTCAGTGCTCATCATGATAAGTGTATTCTTAATCCCCTTTACATATTTCACCCATCCCCCAACCACCACCCCTCTGGTAACCATCAATCAGTTTGTTCTTTATAGTTAAGAGTCTAATTCTTGGTGTGTGTGTGTATCTCTCTCTCTCTCTTTTTCCTTTGCTCATTTGTTTTGTTTCTTGAATTCCACATACAAATGAAATCATATGGTATTTGTCATTCTCTGACTGACTTTGCTTAGCATTATACTCTCTGGCTTCATCCATGTTGTTGCAAATGGCAAGATTGCATTCTTTATGGCTGAATAATATTCCATTTTGTATGTATACCACCTCTTTTTTATCCATTCATCTATCGATGGATGCTTGGGGTGCTTCCATAATTTGACTATTGTAAATAATGCTGCAATAAATATAGAGGTGCATGTATTCCTTTGAATTAGTGTTCTTGTATTTTTGTGTGTAGATAGTGGTGTGATTACTGGATTGTAGGGTAATTCTATTTTTAAATTTTTGAGGAACTTCCATACTGTTTTCCACAGTGGCTGCAACAGTTTGCATTCCCTAAAGTGTTATTACTTTTAAGCCCATACTCATGTCTCCATAAAAGCATACTTCTTTCACTAGAATCAAATAGATTGGGTTTCACGTTTTAAAGAACAGTTTATATATGTGGAGGAGCCTATGAACTCCTTGCCAGGTAGAATAGACTATAGTACTAATCTTGTTATTTTTGAACATTTTTAAAAACATACTGGTTAGTGTTATTACCAGCCACTGTATAGACTTTCAACAATCCCATTAAATTTCTCTTACTTAGTCTTCCATGACAATAAGAATAAACTATGCAACCCTTTCGGAAGGACAGATTTCTCCTCATCTCCATGCTAGTATATCTCTCAAGGGTAGCATAAACTCAGAATAGTTTGCTAAGACATCCTTCCTTATTAATTTATTGAAACTAAAGGCACTCCTGAACACCATGAAAATGTACAGAGAGACACTGATACACAAAGATCAATAGCAACAACTGGCTATTGGCTGTCAATAGGGGTTTAAGGCCTATTTCTTTCTTACAAAAGTACCTAAAATCTTAGTTTGGGGTGTTAGATACTGTTTTCTGGGTAAGAATATTTAGAAAATTGAATAAATCACACGTGGGTAAACACCAGGGGAGTTGTAATGTGTATACCCTGCCTAGCAGTTTGAGTATTTTAGAACAATCAGGGGTAGGGCTTACTAGAGATAGTACACTTTCACAGAAAACATTTCTTTAGTAAATAACTGGAAATATACCCGTAGAAAAGGAAAATAATCACTTTATTCTCCTAACAAAGGGGCAGGTATGAGTGGCCAACATTGGACTTATTGCCAGGCAGCCCAGAATGATCTCTGATCAGTTCTACAGGATTATAATGATTTAATCAATTATTCAATAATACTAAAACCTAAGACAAGAATTCTTTGCTTAATTAACATCTACCTGTTTTCTTAGGATGCCCAACATTTAAAAATGAAGCTGAAGGAACAGAAGATGACTTACAAGTAAGTAGTTTGCCTTGAAAGGAATTTCTGAACATAAAGGATAAGGAGGAAATCACTAACCTTAATAAAGAAACAACTTACGTAAATTTCTAAGAAAATTTCTCAGACACTGTATTTGTCAAGAAATACAGAGAAACAGAAGCAATAGGATGTGTGGGCATGTATATAGGTATGCATGTGTTATAGAGAGTTTGTTTTTGGTTTCCTTATGTTCGTTTGTTGGTGGTGGTGGTTGGTTTTTTTGGTTTGTTTTTAAAGGAATTGGTGAGTGATTGTGGGGACTGACAAGTCAGAAATGCACAGGGTAGGTAGGCAGGCATGTATGGCAATTTTGACACGCTTTGATATTTCAGTTTTGAGTTGGAAGGCAGTCTCGTGGCAGACTTCCTTCCCTTTTGGGGGCCCCAGTCTTTAAGTCTTTTCAGAATGAGACCTGTCTTCTTTATGGAGGGTAATCTCCTTTACTTTGAATATACTGATTGAAATGTTAGTCACTTCTGAAAATGCCTCTACAACATTTAGACTGGTGTTTGACTGAATAGCTTGGCACGATAGCCTAGCCCGGTTGACAAATAAAATTAACCATCACATATAAGCAAGGTACGTGTATAAAGAATTTACAGAAAGGGAATTGCAAATTGTTAATAAGCATATGTGAACAATGGTAAAGCAGCAGGTAGTGTAAATTAACATTTTTTAGTTACCAAATGAAGAAAGTTTAAAAATTGACACACACACACACCACACACACACACACACACACACCCACCCGGGGCCCTCTGCTTCTCCCTGTTCTCTTTCTCTCTCTCAAATAAATAAATAAATAAAATCTTTAAAAAATAAAAAAAAAATTGACACTGCCCCATACTGTCTCTGTCTGTGAGATTGACAGATTGATGTCGTGCTGGAGAAAATGTGGATTGGTAGGTTCTTTCTAGAAAGCAGTTTGGTAATATGTATTAAAAAGCCTTAAAAACAGAAACCTGAATGCCTGTTGATCTAGTGAACCAATTTCCAGTAATTTATACTAAGGAATAGAGATGCATAAAGTGTTTTTTGTTCGTTTGTTTTTTCTTGCACAAAGATTTTTTATACACAGATTTTTGGGTGTGTGTTTTTTAAGTATTAATAATAAAAAATAAGCTATTTAAATATTAAGAAAACCTGAATGATTGAAGTAATTAAAGTATGTTTTTATCATGCAACCATTAAACATTTTATTATTAATTTGCTTATACTGAGTAATAAAAATAAAAATTATATGGTGTTACCACTACTTCACTGAAATGTTAAATATTTTTGTTTATTACTTTTGGATTGTGGGATTCTGAGTTATATGACTTTCTTTTTAGAACTTTTCCAAATTTTCAGATGCAGTAAGTATTAATACTTCACAATAATATTAGAACATAGAAGAACCCAAATTTGTCTGTGTACCTAGTATTAATAATCAGTTATTCATATTACTGTAAAAATAGTTGGAACCTAAAGACATGGCAGAATGTTTTATGTGCATTTATTTTTTTTTAAAGATTTTATTTATTTACTTGACAGAGAGAGACAGCAAGAGAAGGAACACAGCAGGGGGAGTGGGAGAGGGAGAAGCAGGCTTCCTGCTGAGCAGGGAGCCCAGTGAAGGGCTCGATCCCAGGACCCTGGGATTACCACCAGAGCCGAAGGCAGACGCTTAATGGCTGAGCCACCCAGGCACCCCCTATGTGCATTTATAATCAGAAAATAAAAATGTTTTTATTTTGGAAAATTTGAGAAATATAGCAAATTTTAAAGAAAAAAAACATACGTATGCTACCATCCGTGATAACCACCATACATATTTTTAAATATAGCCTTTGGGATTTTTTCCATACACAAATGCACATACACATGGGTTATTGTAATATTACACTATAGTCTTTTTTTTCACTCAAATATATATATTATGTCCTTAAATACTTTTTCAAGTTTATGATTTCTAATGTTTTTATGTAATTTGTTTTTTTGTAGATGTATCTTAATTACCAATCCCCCTGTTGTACATTTAAGAATCCTTTGTTGTGTTTAAATATATGAATCTTTTTATTTTATTTTTGATTATTTAAAAATACAGTGAGTTGCAGTTAATTAGATAAAAGAAATAATAAAATGAAAATAATATTTTTTACTTAGGTCTTTAATGAAGTTACATTTTGTTCTGGTATCAGTCAAAATATGAGGCTGGAAATGGGAAAACATTTTCTGGATTACTCCCTGTGATGAAAGTAAATTTGGTTAAAATTCAGTTTCAAAAAGTAGAGTCTCGCATACCAACACTGTTACATAATGGCTATTATTCATTTTAATATTTTTCTGATTCGGTTTCACCTCATTTCTTTGTATACCATTATGTAAAGGAAAAACTGCTATCGGACATAATTGTTTGCAATACTCTGTGCATATAACAGTCAATGGATTTTGTAAAAAACCATTGTTTCCATAATCATATTTGCTACTAGTACTGTATATGTCAAGGCTTTGGTATAGAGTAAAAAATGGGGAAGATATTAATGAGGAATAATAAATTTTCATCTGCCGAAGCAGACGAAAGAGTAAAAAGTTAGGATGAGGAGGCATCTAGTGAAGAGAATTACTATATAACGAAAAGCAAGAGTAGTTACTCTGTTAGCTCTTTGGGGTGGCTGCTTCATAGTAGTGTATCTTCAGTGTCCTCAGTCCAAAATGTTACACACACAAACCCCTAAAAGAGTTATTTATATTTTAGCTTCATTAGAGTCTAAAGCACTTGCTTGGTTTTTTATTTTCATAATAAAATAGAAAATATGCAATGTCAGTAGAGACTGCAGTAGTAGGCTTCCTTTTATTTATTTATTTATTTATTTATTTATTTTTAAAGATTTTATTTATTTATTTGACAGAGAGAGACAGCGAGAGAGGGAACACAAGCAGGGGGAGTGGGAGAGGGAGAAGCAGGCTTCCCGCAGAGCAGGGAGCCCGATGCGGGGCTCCATCCCAGGACCCTGGGATCACGACCCAAGCCAAAGGCAGATGCTTAATGGCTGAGCCACCCAGGCACCCCGTAGACTTCCATTTAAATGTAATTTTACTAAGAGCAATTTTTATATCAAGGTCTAATTCTTGGTTTTACATTCTGTAGTGTTTTTAAAATAGATTATTAAATTATATTCCTTTTGATAGAATCTAATTCTCCTCCCCCCTGAGTGTACATTATGCTTAGTTGTTTCTTAACAAAGAGACTTAATGATAGAAGTGACAGAATGTGACTTCCAAGGGTAGGTCATAAAAGACATTGCAGCTTTTTTCTGGTTCTCTTGAGTTACCTGTACTAGAAAATGACTACTGTCCTGGGTAGAGGACACTCAAGCAACCCAATGGAGATGTCTGTGTGGTGAGGAACTGAAGTCTTGTGACAGTAACAGTGTTAGTGAGCCACCTGGGAAGCAGGTCATTTACTCCCAAACAAACCTTTAGATGGATATAGCCGTAGTTGATGTTTTGATTGTAACTTCATTGGAGACTGTGGCCTAGAACCTATTAACAGGTAAGCTGTTATTGAATTCCTGACCTGCCGAAATTATAAAATGTTAAGTGTTAATTGAAACCTCTGAGTTTGGGGGTAATTTGTTACTAATACAGATTTAGGTATCCATAAATGTGGTGCTACCATAACAAATACTTTAAAATGTGGCATAGACTTTGAACTTGGACAGTAGATGGAAAGCTTAATATCAAGCCTTTGACAAGACTGCCAGTAAAGGCTTAAATGAAAATGAAGAAAACCATATTGGAAACTGGCAGAAAGGTTAGTAACACTGTCACTTGCAGTAATATGGGCCTTAGAAAATGTATCTAATGAGCTAGGTGATCTAGCTAAGGCGATTTTCAAGCTAAAGGTTAAAACTGTTGCTTGGTTTCTTCTTTCTGCTTACGGTAAATAGGGCAAGGAAGGGCTCCTAAACAAAATGGAGCCAGGACCTGCTGGTTTGAAAATTCTCATCCTCTTAGTGTATCAAATTATGCTAAAATTAGGAAATGGTTTCCAGGCAAAGATCAAATCCAGGGCACTCTCAGAATAGCTTTGTCTAAAGATGAAGCCAAGTGTGTGATTTATAAAATCCTTTCTTAAGACCTCAAGACAGATCTAAGGTATGCCTCCAAGGACCTTTCAATCAAAGTGATAGAGCTTATTATCAGATTAGGGTGTCCCTTAGCAAAAATTTAAAGTAGAGAAGAGTTTATTTCAGATTTGTGACTGTGCTTTTTTGTCTTAATAGTGTGAACCCCGATAAGAATCACAAGAGACCCACAGTGTTTTCAAATGAGTTATTTTGGCAGAAGTATCACCACCTTGGACTGAAGAGTGACCCTTTAGATTCCCAAAATTCTGGTAGAAGGCAGGTTAAAACATTCTATACACATGTATGTAAACATGGGCTGCCTTTCATAAAATGGAAGGGTGACTCAGAAATCAGAGACCAAATCTCCAAGGCCAGAGCCAAGAGCCATGGAGAATTATTCCTAGGTCCTAAGTTCTCTTCAAGCAACTTGTAAGATGTTTCTACCTTGATTTCAGAATTACTTTGGATCAGTGACTCCATTGTGCTTCCCATTTTCTTTTGTACATGATGGTTTTCCTCTGCCTATCCTATCTTTGTATTTTGGATATGTGTAGGGCAGATAATTTGTCACTTTAGTGTCCAGGTCTTCACTTTGGGAGAAATTATACTCAGAGGATTGTACTTAAGGAACTATACCTGAGAAGTTTCATGTGTACATGGATCTATTTAGATCACAACATCCTCTATGAGAAGTTGTTGCTCTAAAGGAATAAGACTTGGGGGAGTCTTGGGAGGGGGCGAAGTGTATTTTGTATATGAGAAAACTGTAAATTACTTGTCCAAAGAGTGGTGAACAGTAGTGGTTTTAAAATATGTCCACAAATTCTTTCATACTATTGGCTTCACTCTAGTCTAATTCCCCCCTCT